ATTATTTATAGCGCATTTCGAAATGACTTTGTTTGACAGGGTCAAAATCGTTTTACGAAAAACAACACTACCGCTGATTATCTACATATCGTTAAATAAATTATAAAATCTTATGGACTCACAATTAACATTCATACTTATGTAAATGAATTTTAATCTTACTTAATTCATAGCTTGATGTGTCATATAAAATAATTAACATCTCTTGTTATTATTTTGCATATGAAATTATCAGATTATAAAATAAAATAACTATAAAAACAAAATAAAGTTCAGTTACATGAATTACAACAAAATGATAAGTTATTAATAAACTATAAGATGATATTACAAACAAACTTATATGATAATTATAAAGGATTATAGCTAGAATTTAATATATAATAAGCAGACTTGGTAGCTTTTGAAGTATTAGCTTACACTCTTAACTCAAGATCTTCCATCCATTTCACTGAATTTCTCTCTACTTTGTGCAGTTTCTCCAGATCTCCAACGAAATGTGTTTGTGGACAATTATCAACTATATGGCGCATCGTTTGACACACTCCACATTCACAGAGCAAGGTTTCTGCCTTTCCCCATTTTTACATTAGGTAGTTACATTTTCCTTGTTTCGTTCTTGCTCCGTATAGCGCCCTCAGAAGCTTGAAACCCGGAACTCTCAGTTCTGGATTGTTTATCAGTGAAACGTTCCATACACCAGAGTTTTTCCATCGTTTCTTGCAGATTTTCTCCATTGCGTCTTTTATTGGTTCCAAATCCCATATCGGGTGTCTTGATTTCAATATTTTGGGAGAAAGCACTGTGAAGTCGTCATGTAGAGGGATCTCAGGATATTTTATAATTATTTTGAATTAATCTTTATGTGTGTTGCAATCTACGTAAGACTGGTAGGACTATATTCCATGTATCGGTAACCATTACACCTAGGTGGATCTAATTCTACCGGTGATGATTTGCATGGTATGATTAAGTTCCGTATCAACTTTGTGGCAATGTATTCTTCTTGCCCAGGCAAGAACGCAATATGTACGCTAATGCTTTTGCAGATATCCGTAAAACCTTAGCATTGCTGCCCCAATGAGAGCCTACAATTTTGGAAGTAATGTTGTTTCTTGATAAGCTTTTTTTTCGCATCCTCCAGGTGTTTTTTAAAAGTCAAAACCCTGTCGATTTTCACACCCAGATATTTTGGATTCAAAAACATAAATAAAAATAACATTTGTTAGAATGGTAAAACTTGAGGAATTACTTAAATTCAGTTTATCACAACACGTGAAAAATAGCAGTTTGCCCTAACCATAAGACAATATTCAGCACTAGATGACTTGATTAATTTAAACTAACATCATATCTAACAATTATATATGTTTTTCGAAATCCTGAAGACAATCGATGTAAAGTTGTTCACATTCGCCAAGTCAGCAGTTACGGCTAAATGGTCAATACAACATTTATTTCGTTTAATACAGTATTTTTCATATACTATATATAGCTATACAAGTGACTTGTTTTGAGACTGTAGCCCGTGGAGATAAAAAGTATTTCGGAAAGAAAAAAGTTCTACGGTATCATTGTAGCACATTATTTATTACGGTGATAGATAAAACTACAGACGCGTTGTACATACGATGTTGATTTGCGAAATGTTTGTAAATGGAAAACATGAAATATTTAATGTAATAATATCTCACGTGACACGAAAAATACTCCAAAATCGATGAAATGCGGGAAGGATAGCATATTTCTTGTATAATGATGCCCAACCCTTATTTTCTTAACAAACGTTTGCCCGCATACGCGCGTCAATAACTATCAAATATAAAATGACCGTACACTGCTGGTACAAGCTTCTTGTATACTTTTTAACGATAATTACTAGTCGTATAAACCATACTTGTATAATTCGAATCGTACTAGGAAAAATTGATAATAATTAAAGATAATAAAACAGACAAACTCATAGTACACACACACCCGTATACACACTTGACACCACGACAGTTGGGTAATTCATTAATGATGCCATGTTAATTTACTTCAGAATCACAAAGTATTCGCGTACCCCGAAAGCATATTTCCATTGACGATAAATTAACCATCTTCGTTCCGTGCACAACGGCGACTTGAGCATACGCTTTTTATTAATTTTACACTGTCGTTGTTACACGTAATAACGTCTTTTTTTCGAAAATATTTTATTCGTAATGCAACGCATTCATCCATGGCGGGTTTTATCTTAAACGCATATTTTGTTCTCGATGTTACCGAATAAAATAACAAGAGTGTTACAAGTCCGCATAAATTTATGCAAATGTACATAATCACATACTGTTGTATACTCGTAGACTGACTGGGTTGGTCAAGGTATGATTGATTTCAAAATACGGTGAAACTTATTCTTTATCGAAAAATTTTAAATCAAAACCACTATAAATGTATAACCTTGCAAAAGCTTGTGATTGTATAATCATGCTTGAAAAATTATTTCGATAATGATTTCGAAACATTTAAGAGAGTTTCCGAACAATTGAGTCTAAAACTAATTTAAACAATATTAATTAACATCGTTCTGAACGTCTACGTCTGCAGCAACGGATGGAGGTGGTCTGGTTGACAATTTAGCGGCCGAAAGTCTAATGATCGAAATATCATTCGTTCGAACACTTTTTTGATCGAAAAATATAACATCAAAAATGCAAGCGATCGAAATTGTATTTTGAGGTAATTATTGCCGTCAGTTATGCGTATCACATCTTTGTTTTTTTTTTTTATAAATTAAATTATTTATATTTAATAACATTCCTCCATGAATGCTAAGAACACTATCAATATTCATATTAAAATATAAAAACCTTAAACTAAAAACTAAAAACTTTATAATTTAAAGTTTTCCTAATATACATTAGTTTATATTATAAACTAATGTATATTGGACAGTCGAGAAGTCCTGTAAATACCTACTACGATAAATCTACCAAGTTGCATCTATAAAAATATTAGATAAAGTCAGACGCGAATAAAAGGGGTGGCTATGGGAATTGAAGCCCCTCCCCCTTAAATATTAGATAGAACCATATAAGACGTAGTTACTTAAAATATTTAAAAAATCAGACAGAAGAAAGACTTTATATTAATCAACATACGCAACAAATTATGACAGTAACTTAATTTGTAAGCCCCCTCTTTTTTGATTTCTAGATCCGCGCCTTGATAAAGTAATCAAAAATCTAATGATTAATTTTACTCCAACCAAAAAATCTATTCGGCCAAAAAAATTTCGACCATATTAATAAAATATGTGACCATTTGGTTTTTGGCTATAAAATGATTCGATCACATATTATTTTCATCATACTTAACCATCGACCAAATGATTCGCATCAGCACCAACAGTACAAGAATACCAATTATTGACGCGAGCGGTCGCGGTAGTTTTGATTTAACTGATTGACATCGTATTTCGGTTAGATGAATTTCATTTTTCAGTAATATGCGAAATGACATGCACTGCACACATCAAATTATAATATTCCACGGTAGGCTTAACAGTTTTTATGCGACCATTTGGGTATAATAGAAATTATGTGAATGGCCATGACTCCATCGTGTTCCTAAACCGTGTACATAATTCAAATACAATTAGCTAGATGGTTACAACACATGGTTCAAGATATTTCGAATTCGACCGTCATTAAATATAATGTGTCAAAGAAAAATATTCATAAAATGCATTCAGAGTAAAAAAAAATTTACAGGGTCATCCACATAGTTGATCGACATCGATCTCAATCGTTTTATGATTGAACCGTTTGTTTTGTACATTAAACTAGTTGGTTAACTATATAATTATTATGACATAGAGTTTCGAATTGAACCAGTTGAAATGCAATTTATCTTCTTCGACCGTATGATTGGAAAAAAAAATAATAATCACCAGTTATAACCGTGACGTGTTAGTACTAAATCTATTGTATATACGAGTACATAATATTTTTATTGTTATATACATTTCGATGCACATTGCGTTTGGTGCATCGTCGTGGAAGTAAATGAACTAAAGTGCAGATATATACTTTAACAGTACAGTTATATATTAACTACAATATTCTAAAATCCAATAACCAACACATATTTTATTTCTCTGGAGATAATGATTGAAAGGTGCCGCTGATTATTGTGAGCAGCATTCATGTGTGAGGTACTGTAAAAGTTCAATTGTGATTTTATGCTAATGCTATTAAAAAAAAAAAAAGAATTCGTTCTATTTGAACGCTAAAAGTAATTCGAACAACTCTCTTCGGGATAGTAAAAGAAGTTCGTTCCGCTCACCATCGTTCCCGCGAAAATTTATATTTCCTATTCGATGAACAAAATACCTAAAACTAAAGTGTGCTCGTCATGTTTTAAACTTGCATGAACATAACTTATATAATATTCTAGAACCATTATCATTGCAATGTTATATCGTATTATTATTGTACATCAACTGTTATAGAAAATCTTCCTTTTGTAACGTGTTACACAATATTCGGTGAAAACCGTTCGGAATCTTACACAAGACTAAATAAACATTTCGTCGTCTGGCTGATTTGGCACCGCGAAATATATCGAGACAATAACGTGCAAACATTTCCGGCTCGTATAATGGTGTGTGTATCGGATACTGAATTAAGACGCATTTGTAATGCGTTATGCGAAAATCTTAATCGGCAACGATACAATGGACCATTAACGATACAACGTTTGTGTACAATTGTGTCCATTAAAAACGTTGGAAAGATGAAAGCCATCAACGAGCGTAAGTAATCGAACGAGCCAATTGTTTCTAAATCTGAATACGATAGGATTGTTTCGCGGAGGTTTTCGATTTTTGATCGAGGAGAATCCACCGCGGCTGCCGCGGCGATGCACGTACGTGTAACGCAATATCGTTCGCGTAAAACGCGTTACTAAATACACGAACAGGTAAACGGGTAATAAAAATGTATACGACTCACCTTTGATGACGCGTCGAGGGCGCACGGAACGATGTGTTACAAATAACGCGTTGAGACGTTATCGTCGATGTGGTGTTGTGTTTGTTTTGTTTTTTTTTTTTTGTTTTCTATTTTTTTTGTTTTTTTATATAAAAAAAAATCGTATCACTGTGTGGTCGCCATGCTCGCTAATTACTAATGCTGCCGATCGAGGCAGACTGGTACGGTGGTCCCGACGACGGCCGAACTCGTCATATTGATCCGCCGCCGAGGTCCTGTTAAAGGGTCGAGTGCGCGCGCGCTCACTGCGTGTACGAGCGCGCGCGCCGCGCACAGCAAATGCCGTTAGCTACGGTTCGGGACGGACGCACGTGCGACGGGTAGAACAGGGCGGGAACACACCTATTTCCGCGGTTCGTTTTTTCTTGTGCCCCCGTCACCCCCCGAAGCCCTGTCGACGTCGTCCTTCCGTCCCTAGTGCCGCGCACCTCTTCGCGAGTGTACGCACGCGCACGACCGTCTCGTGCGAACAGGGCCGGTGAATACGTCATAGGATCTGAGCCCACCCCTACACCGTTTCCGAAACCCTAGGCTCCTGCGACGTGGGCGGCGGTGTAACCTGCAGCGGGTACACGTGTACGTGTGCAGACGGCGTCGGCCGTCCAACGCATCATCGCAGCGCCCAGTGTCCCTAACCCGGCCGCGGCGCGGTGGCACAATAATAACGATAATTCATGCATACGAATCGGAGTTTATAAAAAAAAAACGTGTTTTTATACAAAAAAAAAACCATTTGATCGTTTAAAACATGTTTATTCCAATTCTTTTTTTTTAACCATTTTAAACGTGTTTGAAACACATTTTAATCGAATTTTAAACGAAATAAAATTATTGGTATAGGTTTATTTACAGTATAATATACGAACTTAAAGGAATATGATTAAATAATTAAATATAATATTAAACATAGTAGCAATTAGCTATGTGTCTACGGCGAATAATTACTAAGTTACAACACTAATAATTAAAAAGTAATAACATACTAAATAGTAAAAATTTAACAATAGAAGTATGTACTGTACTTAGAATGTAAATAAATTATAAAAATAAAAATAAGTATCGACAACTAATGCAATTGTACGTTGAGATTTTTTTATAGTAGTTACTACTGTAGACTTGATCTTGACTATTACTTATTAGCCATTAGTCATTAGATATATTTTAATACTATAAAAATTAATAGAATCATTTATTGACTAATAAATATTAATAAAATAAATAACATTAAGTATTATATTCTAGTCTCTATGCAATTTTAATATTGTTTTATTATTGTTGTGATTATAAGTATTAGAATGTGATAAAATTCGTGTTTCTGCGTTTCCTATTTTTCAAAAAGTTTAAAAATCAACCATAAAATTAAAATATTTAAGTATTTCTCAGTTGAAAAACATTTAGGTATACATCATGTTATAATGATAATATATTCTGTGATTACACTATCTACAGCCGTGTAATCGTAAACGCCCTAGATCATAAGTTAAACACCGTTTAATTGCTGAACAACAAAAAATCAAATTATGAATTAACTATTGCAGAAAATTTAATACAACTTGTAGGCCAAAAATTATGTTTCTTCTGTTTATACAACATTTTACATTTTACATTGTTTAAATCTAATGTTTTAAACAATTTAAACAAAACCGCATTTGATTAAAGCAAATGATCAAAACATGTTTTAAACTACTGTTTAAAACAAAATATTTTTAACATCTCAACTCTGCACATGATAAAACGGTGACGTATCATACAGGGGCGACTGGCCCGTGTGGAGAGGCGGAGATATACACCTGAGCCGGTAGGATTATGAATAATTTGGGCTACTACTATCGTCTATTTACATCATAAGCAAATAATGTTAGTTTTTTGTTATGAAAAATCGTATTTTAGACAAAGACAATACAATAATTATTTGGTATTATTGTAATTCAAACGCAACAGAAATGATTGTAAGAATATATGTATTAGATAAATATATATATATAAAATGTAAACAATGTTGACTTATGGTTAAAATTACATTAGAAAATATTATCCAAGATTAAAATTATGTTTATAACGATAATATGTTTATCAGCAGGCAGCGGTTTTGTATTACAAATAATACTATTAATAATCGAAAAATACGTTGTAGGTACGTATAATGTAGATACGGTCGTCAGCCACCATACATAATTATCGATACCGATTAAACTTCATCAGATATTTTTTATTTTATAGATTAATATTTAAAAATTATTATTAAACTATTACGAAATAATAAAAATTAAAATTAATATTATTAAGAATCCAATGTTTAAAAAACCAATTAAAGACAGAGCTGAAAAGTACCATATAAAACGAGCTGCTGAATTACTTAGTTGTGGAAATAATAAAAATCAGCGAAAACTTAACTTTTTAAAAATAAAGGTAAGATGTTGGCTGCTTTTTTTATATATTATTAAATACTAATTTGACCATGTACCTAAATTTAAATTCTGAGTGTTTATTATACTTCAGCTTTACTTAGAAGTCACAATCGTTTTACTAAAAAAATAATTATGTTATAATACACCTATCCCTATTCACACAACATACTCAAAAGGTGCCTCTGCCTGGTAAAGGAAGCTGAATATTTTTTTTTTTTTAGATAATTTACTAAATTATGCCTTGGTACAGGTACAGGTTTATACTATAAGCAACTTTCATTTTATGTTGTATCATTTTATTCGTACACTGTTGGCAAGGCCGTAACTGCAGTGAGGGATGGTCCAGGGATCCGGACCCCCCCCCCCGAAATTTTCAAAAGTAAAAACATTTTAGCGGTGAATATAGTTAATTAACTATAAATTGTATTAAATAATAATGTTAGACCCCCTCCCCCCGAAATTGTTTTCCAGTTACGGCCTTGACTGTAGGTACACTTGTTCCAGAAAAAAAATATTTTTTTATCAACAGTTCAAGTATAAAACTTATTTATATTTTTAATACAACATTTTCTTTAGAACTATACAAACAGTAATATAAATGAAATAGTTAAAGAACCAATGATTTATATGTAAATGAACATTTCAATAATGATCAAGAAGTGAGTTTACCTATGTTCTTACATAATTCAATCATAGATAAATTAATTAAAATTAATTACATAGGTGCATATCTACATACTTACATATTATTATTAAATAATTTTAATTTTTAAATGTACCTATATAATACCTATTTATTTATACACTGAAAAAATTGTTTAGGAAAATATTTGTGTTAATATTTGCAACGCAATCCCACTTGTTGAAAGTAGTGTGCTTACTAATGTTGCTGAATTTGAAAGTAATGAACAACCTGTGAGTTTTTAAATCATATTAAATGTACTTATATAGTATATATTTATTTATATACTGAAAAAATTTTTTAGGAAATTAGTTGTGCCTATATTTGCAACTCAATCCCACTTGTTGAAAAAATTAAATTCTAATAATTTAGCTACTTACATTATATTTTGAAATAAACTATTGAAAAATTTTAATTTAATAATTACTTAGTATTAAATTTTTTAAATTCTGACATGGAAATTTGTTTTTCAATCCTTGCAAAACGAGCAGAAAGTAAGAAGTTTTTGAATAATGAAATTTAGACATAGTTTTGTAAAATTAACATAGTTTTAATCTTGTGTTTTCCCTGTGGGGAGGGGGGGTTAAAATACACCCATGGTAGTCCATGCCCGTCGTAAGAGGCGACCAAAATGGATATAGTAGTGGGAAGCAGCACTGCTATCAAGTGTGAATTCATTCATACTTAAACATCATCCATTAGAAATAATGAAGGATACTGCGATATGGAAGGCAACGGGAATCCACCATATTAACATCCCAAGTAACAGCAATCAACATGACAGTTTCTCAAGTAAAATATTCCGGAGGTAAAATAGTCCCCCATTCGGATCTCCGGGTGGGGACTACGAGAGGAGAAAGAAATGTTAAAGAATATAAAGAATACAAATTCATAGCAACTTGGAACGTAAGAACTTTATTACAGTGTGAAAAGTTGGAAAACCTGAAAATGGAAATGAACAAGATGAAAATTGATATCCTTGGAATATCAGAAATAAGATGGCCGAACCCAGGAGACTTGACTATCTAATTGACTATAGAATAATACATACGGGAACAGCAGAGAAGAGACCTGGTATAGGAGGAGTAGGGTTGATAGTGAATAAATCCCTAGGTAAAAAAGTTAAAGGCTACGTACAATACAATGAAAGAATCATTCTAGGCAGATTTCAGACGAAACCAAAGGACACAATAGTAGCTCAGATGTATATGCCAACAACAAATAATAGCGAAGAAGAGCTAGAAGAAGTATATGAAAATTTAGAAAAATTAATAGAAAATGTCAAAGGAGAGGAAAATCTGATAGTAATGAGTGACTGGAACGCCATTGTTGGGGAAGAAAAAGTAAAAAACCTAACAGGAAACTATGGTTTAGGAAACCGGAACGATAGAGGGGATCGGTTACTAGAATTTTGTGCAAAACATAAATTAATAATCACAAACACTTGTTTTAACCATCATAAGAGAAGAAGATACACCTGGAAAATACCTGGAGACATTAATAGGTACCAAATTGATTACATCATGGTAAAAAATAGATTTAGGAATCAAATAAAAGAAAGTAGAAGTTATCCAGGTGCGGACATAAATAGCGATCACAACCTTGTAATGATGAAGTGTAATCTTAAATTCAAAAAAATAACATGTAAGAATAAAATGGTACAATGGCAAGTTAAAAACCTAAGAGATGAAAAATCAAAGAAACAGTACAGTGAATGCATAAATTATGTAACTATAGAAGATTCCCTAGAACCACAAAATATTGAAGAAAGATGGCAGAGCTTGAAACAGACAATCAAAAAAACAGCAGCAAAAACTCTAGGGCATAAAAACATTACAGCAAGAAAGAACTGGATTACAGCCAAAATTGTGAACTTGATAGAGGAAAGAAAAAATATAAAAATTTGAACAGTACCAAAGGACAGAAAATGTATAGAGCATTGAGGAATCTAGTTATTAGGAAATCGTAAGAAGCAAAAAAAAGTACCTGGAAGAAAATTGTAGTGATATTGAAACACTTATGAAAACAGGAAGAAGAGAAGAAGCATACAAAATGATGAAAAAGTTCTTTGGCCAGTATAAGCCCAGAGCCGGAGGA